TTCTTCGCGCTCGCTGCGCGGATTCGCACGCTTATAACAATAAAAGGGATGGTGCACCTACCGCAAGGACGATGAGGATACGGTGGCCAACCGTATCCGATTAACACGCTGCTAATACGCTGCTGCGCTGCTTGCCGCACCGCCTAGGTTACTGTTGCTGTCGTTGTTGTTGCTGCTACCGCCGTTATTGCTGTTGCCACTAATGCTGCTGCTACTATTGCTGCTGCTGCTATTGTTGTTGCTGCTGCACTAAGCACTCAGCACACCAACGTTCGCACCTCCGACCTCGCACTTCGCAACACCAAAGCGAAAACTTGAACGGCTCGGGAAAACGGAGGTTAGGTCAACGCACTGACTGAGTGACACAGTCATACTGCCGGTCGGAGCCTCCCCTCCCGGTCATTGCCCCTACGCGCTCTCTCTCCCTCGCGAACCGAACGCGGCTCCTCTCGTTTAGCCGCTCATTAACCTCGCGCGAGTCTGACGATTTTCAGTAATCGTTGCAATCATTATATAGTTATAAATGATAACCACAAATGTAATATTATATTTCCTTCAATAAACTTCATCAAAAATGACGTTTGCCCTTCTTGATACCCAAAGACTGTAAAAATAATATGTGTAACAGGCTGCCGCCTGGCCGCAAACCACGGGTAATAATAATCTTAAATATGGCCAGACGGTGCTCTGGTAACTGTGTGCTCCTAGCACACTTACTCACTTTGTCCCGGTGTGCGCCTGCGCCGAGTTCTCTTACCGATCTAACCTGGATTCACGATCTCTCCGCCAGGGGCGCTGGTACGCCTGCTTTCCAGCGCTCCGTCGGCCACTGCTGACAACTCGGTTGGCGGGCAGCTTCTCTCATTGCTTACGTGATCCGTGCTGTACTACCGGCGCGTTCAAATCAAACGTAAACAATAACACCGATTTCGAACAAAGGGAAGACAAAATAACGAGATCGTTTCGTGTTAATCTCTAACCACTTTATTAATTCAAAACTAGTATAAGGGAGGGATTTGCCGAGAGACTCACGCACGCTATTTCGATATGACAATTCAACCGGAGAGAGAGAGAATGAATATCGGGGACGTCGCGGACTATTCGCACACTCACTATCGATAAACTCACCGCGCTCGCTGCGCGGGATCGCACGCAAATATCAACAAATAGTGCAGTGCAACTACCGCGAAATCGAAGGGGATACGGTGGCCAACCGTATCCGTCTAACGCTGGACGACGAACTGCCGCTGCCCCTACTTCTCCGCCGGGGCTGTCTCGTTGCTGTTGATGTTAATGTGGTTGCTCTCGTCGTTGCCGAGGCCGCGCACGTTGAGCAGTGCGCGCACTCGGCACTTTACTCGTACCAGTTATCAACGGTGTCGGAGCCACACACGTTGCGCAGTGTGTGCTCGTTTCACTGCACTGATTGTCGTTGACAGTTGTTAATGCACACGTTGCGCAGTGTGCACCCACCTCCACACTCACTACACTGTACTTAACTCCCTGGACCTCACTCGCAAACAAAGGACTCGTTGTTGCCTCTAACTCGTATGCGATGTAGCCAGACTGAAGGACACAGTCATACTGGCTAGCTAACTCTCCCCTCCCGGTCATTGCCCCTAACGCGCCCTCTCTCTCTCTCTCAAACCGATCGCGGCTGTTACGCTCAGCCGCTTAGTAACCCACGCGAGTCTAAACGATTTTCGGCAATCGTTGCATATGAAAATGTTGAAAAAAATCTTGGAATATCCCTTTTTTTTCTTTCAAAACAAATTAGTGTAAAATAAATAGAAAATGTATTTTCCTGCAATTTATATACACGACATTTAAAAATAATGGAGGTATTTGAAAAAAATTAATCTTGAATAATACGATGAATTTTTAGTTTTTAAGATAATTTTAATTTACAAAAATTTCAATAAATTCAAATACTTACTTATATACTGAAAATGACTTCGTTTTCTAAATTAATATAATGCTCTCAAGTACGAGAATAATCTGTTGCGGAGGTAGCTTTTGCTGCTGCGAGTGCTGCGGTCACTCAACGGTCATCGTACGTGTCAAACGGATGGCGGATGAATGGTCGGACTATAGTCTATAGTCGAACGTACCCACAGAATATTCGCAGAGAGCGAGTACGGACCTCAGAGAAAAACTCAGCATGAAAAAACCGTCAAATATCGTAATTTATTGAAATCAGTTTTAATATTATAGTCATAATTTCTTTAGATAATAATAGTAATATTAATCATAATTATAATAATTTATATTATACTATCATACATGATTCATGAAACATCTATCCTCAGTAATTTAACTAAATATCTCATTTTATTTAAATTTTAAATATTGCAACGGTAGTCGATTCAATTAATCGAACCGTTCGCGATTCTGATTTTCGCGCGTTAGTTCTAAGTATTGAGAGAGAGAGGGGGCGCGCGATCTTTTGAATTAGCAGTTACGTCTCAGCTGTTACTTGTGTAGTACCGCCAAAATAGTTTAGCACAGTGTTTCACCGATTTGCCAATAAATAGTTTACTTGGATTTTGGATACGTGTGCAAGGGTGAGCGAGGAAGCAGCGACAGTAGCAGCATCACGGAAACAGCAGCATAAGCAACAGCTAATATACAGCAGATTTGTGATCGAGGCAGCACAGCTGATTCTGATCTGAGGAGCACCTTTAATTTGCTTCAACAATTACGGATGATCACCGTAATTGCACCGCAGGGTAGGTGCACCTCCCTTAATTACCGCGTGACAAAATACATTTAGTATTTTGTTCAACCGTGTTAGCGTTGATATTTTTTGTATTCGCGCCGAGCGTAGGATCGCGCCAAATTTCGTATCTTCTCTCTCTCTTTCTCACCGAAAGTTATTTAATTGTAAATCCTATTCGCGTGCGTCAGTCTTTCGGCCCGACAAAGACTGTAGAGATTTTTATTAATAAAATCATTTAAACTTATTCGCCGATTTCGTCGTATAATTTTTCCTAGTAGTTTAAACAATTGGAAAAAGCTTAGGTTTTAATCCTATTATAGCTAGGGGATTAAGTGGATTAGGAGTAAAGTCGCTTACACTTCAAAATCATCGTGTGTCACAAGGCACGTGACTTAAGGTGAGTTCAACTCCGTTTGATCGAAGACAACTAAGTTAAATCAGCTGACGTTAAGGTGAATACACGTATTAACATACGTGTTAACGGAGCGGCGGTTTGCTCTGCATCGTGGGAGTTTGCTCTTAAATAAATTTCTCAATTTGCAGATTTTCCCCCCGTTACAATATCTATAAGGATATTTATTTATGAAATGTTATCAAAATATAATTCATTTTTCAATTTTTGTTTTTTCACTTTTTTTGAAAAGCGCCTAACGGAATTCTTCAATTTTTGCCTTGAATGTCATGAAAATACAAACTTGAAATGGATCCACGTTCAGATTTGAGGTACATTTTTGTTCCATTTAAATAGTCAGAAGCGAACCGTCAGAATCGGCGGCCATGATTGAGCTAGATGACCAACGATTCGTTATCATGCGCAGTAGGTTTACGTAGGCTCTTCTGAGAGGGAGGGGAGGACGGAAGCCCGGTAGTGCCATCGAGTGAGTGGGTAGGTCACTAACCAAAAAGTACTTTTTCTGAGGCCGACCTGTTAGCTCACCGCCTGATACTGAGCGTTTTTTCGGACGACTTAGTAGGTCGTCGAGATGATTTGATCTAGCAGAAGACAACTGATGTTATTGTGCTAAAACGTTCTCATAACCTCACAGTAGTAAATTCAATGTTTTTTTTAATCATTAATGTGTAATATAATGTGTTATTATATTAATGTGTAATCCAAGTATGCAATCTCACAAGTTTTATTCAATGAAACTATGAATAAAGGGTTGTACCAAATACGTATGACTAAGTACGATAACTATAACTTGTGGATCACAAGATTGTCAATATAATAAGAGGCTCATTAAAAAAATGTCTAGCTTATATTGTTCAAACTATTTTAATTCAAAATGTTTTATAGCTTTAAGGTTTGAATAAATTTTAAGCAACAAAAATGTCTCAATCATAAATGATTGGTCTTGCTCTTTGCAGTTACAGGGAAGTAATACTTGACTGTATGAACTTTTAGGAGTTGGAAAATTTTTCTAAACTACTTTTTGGTATTATAGTACCTAGTGAAGTATCTAATTTTGAGATTATGTGCTAAAAACATGGGAAAAATGCGAAAAATAACGATTTTTTCAGTTTTTGAGCATGTTCCGGTCAAAATATGATAATTTGAATAAATGCATTCGAAAGTACGGCAAAAAATACATGAAAAATGATTATGTAGATGTTAGCCAAATATGACCTTCATAACCTAAAAAATCATTGAAAATTTCAATAATTTTTTCTGACTCCGATTTTTATCCAAAAAATCGGGCTATTTTGTAGTAAAAAATGTAATATGCATGAATTTTTTCAGAATTTATTGAGCAAACAGTAAAGCAGGAGAAATTATTTTCACAAAAACCAGTTTTTTACGATTGTGGCACTCTATTGCCACCTAGGGGTCTGAAAATTTAGGGGAGAGAGCCTCAAAATATGCTCTTTTGGATGGCTGATCCCCGATAACGATTCATTCTTAGGCAATTTTAACATTGTTAACCCGCTATAGCCTTTTATCAACTTTTTAATATTTAATTCATTTTTTCGTGCATACATCACACTTCAATAATAAATTGCAATGCACTTATAAGTGATACAAATCCAGTGCGAGACAGCGAAAGAGGCGAAATTAGTAAGATATAATATAAAATAGCATATCGTATTTACGACTGAGATGACCGATTTATCTATGATGTGAATTATTATGCCGTACAATATTCGTTCAATAGAGCTATATTTATTATATAAATATTATGCACACGAGATGTTTAATATAATTAACGTTTTTGAATATGTATTATTGCATTTTTAATACATTTTTTGAAATTATCATAAATCATAAAGTAATATAATTTACTTGAAAGTCCGAGGATTCTCTGTCCAAACATGCTCCAAACACAATTCAGGTTTAATAGTTGCTGTCAACATGTAATCTGAATATTGATTGTTTCTTCCATCTAATATAATATCACTATGTTCTGATGGTCCTGATGAAGTAGCTAGTATTGCTTGATGTGTTTTACTATACATAGGATAGCAGGCAATAGATGAATTATTCATTCCAGAAAACATAGGATTCGTCGGAGATTGACATCTTGAAATAGTAGCCATTGGACTATGTGATCTTGATAAATGTTGTGATGAAAAAGATACATTAGCAGAACAATTAGTTGTATGCGATGTTCGTGAATAGAATGGACTACTTGCTGTTCCTATAAAATTGAAATACATATTATTTAATTTTATTTTTATTTTATTAAGATATAAATAATGGGTACCACATACATAAATAATAGAATTCAATGTACTTTAAATTTGAGAAGTACCTTGAACGATATCTTTATAGTATAGTATAGTAGAAATCTAAAGTAATGAAAAGACTAACAATGACGTGTAACATATTACGTATATAATTGAAAAGTTCGGCCCTTCTATTTCTATAGGTTAAATTTATACTATGGAAAAAAGAGTTCATTCACTTACAAAGAACGTACCTATTCCTCCGCCTCCGATTTTGCTGCAATTTGGATACGTTATAACTTATAGAAAAATAAAAGATAAGTGGTTTTTTTTTATCGTCGGAAAAAGCAATCTAGGGTGTGAATTGTATTATATTATTGTGCAGTAAAAAATGAGGTTGAACGGTTGAGGTATTAAATCATGCACATAAGAATATGCACATGATCATGAAAAAAATATAACCAGTGCTATTATTTCTGCACCGATTAATTGTACACAGAAAAATTCGAGGGCCGTTAAATAATCCGTGATTTTCAATAAAAAAACACTATTTATTTGAATAATTCCAATTTTTTTTTTCAACATAGTCATCTTTAACTCTATACATTTATTATAGCGAAGTTTAAGCTTTTTTGTGCCTTCTGAAAATTAATTCATATCAAACTCCTCAAAATGCTTATTTATTGCAGCAATTACAACTTTGTGGATGAAAATTATTACCCGCAAGCCAAATTTTCATGGCAAGAAACAAATAATAATCGAATTGGCCAAATCTGGAGAATGAGGAAGTATTTCATAGCGTAATATAAATAATTTAGCTGTTGCAATGGAACTGGTGTGAGCTGGTGCATTGTCGTGGTGGAAATAAACTTTTTTTCACTACATGGAATAGCTTTTCCTTTAATATGGCATCAAATAGGTCTAATAAAAAGGCATCATATTTTCTTGTAATAGTTCTTTCACTTTGTAGGTAATCGAATAATATTATACCACTTACGTCCTAAAAAATTGTAGACACGACTTTTCTTCGTTTCTGGCATATAATAATGAATCCATGTTTCATCAACAGTAAAGTAGCATCGCAAAGAGCCCTTTGGATTACGTTGAAACATGGTTAAACATAGCTAAGACGCAACTACAAGAGCGCGCTTATTTTTCATACCTAAAAATTTATGGAAAATGTTTCATATGCATCCTATTGAAATGTTTAAAGCTTCACTAATCTCACGAATATTCAATTAATTATCGGCAAGTACAATATTCTGATGAGAGCAAGCTGTGTGCCAGCATTTTCGTCTGCTCTTTCTCTCTCGCTCTCCTCTTTACTTGGCTCGGCAATGTAACCAGCGTTGGACGCATATTTGTATTATGCCTAACTGGTGACCTTTTATATTTTTCCAACCGCCGAATATTGCCGAGCACAGCCGAGATGGCTCAAAGATAGGGCGAGAGTGCGGCAGTCAAGAGGAAGAAAGAGAAAAAGAGCACACGTATGCATACACTGACAGGTTTAGATAGGCGAGCGACAAGCGACCAATCAGCGGTTTGTCATACGCCGCCGAACAAGTAGATCAACTGGCAATAGAGAGGGAGAGCACGCGTTAGGGAGTGACCATATGCTGGGAAGAAAAGAAGTTAATTCTACCGCCTTATACAAGTAGTTAGTCTTTCCGTCTTAGTCCGCTCTTCCATCCGTCGAAGACACTTTTTCGTCAAGAATACGATTTTTCTTGACCGGTTAGTCTCTCTGGTAGTAAAAAGGAAAAGGAAGGAAGCCAGTCTATGAAAACTGCCACCATAGTAGATAAGCAATGTATGTCCTGGGAATATACAAAGGAAGCCGCCAATGTATAAGGGATATATATATATGTTCTGGGACACAAAAAAGGCCACCCGATGAAGGTGTCCCGGTATCGTGATAATTTGACTCCTGTTTATCCGCCAGTTCGAGAGAGTGTACCCCCTCACCCCTATAGAGGTTGTTAAGGTAGTGTTATGACGGGGCCCTGGCTAGAATAGCCAGCCCTGTCTGGCTCGCGCTCTCTCTCTCTCTCTCTCTCTCTCTCTCGCAGCCGCGCTCCTTCGCTGTTGCCCTGGCGAGCGGTTGAAATTATGAACCGATACCGATGCTCGCACCGCTTTATTTCAGGACCAATACCTGAGCCGGGCATCGTCGTTAGGAGCCAATTGGGAGCGAGAGCGGCTGCGGCAAGAACAAGAGAGAGAGAATGACGCGTCGCGAGTAGAGAGTAAGCGAGCGCGAGTGAACCGCGACGATCCGCCCGCGAGAGCGAAGCCGCCGGCGTCGCTCGAGCCGACGCGCGAACGATTAGGAAGAAGAGCCGAGATTCAGAGTTCGAGCCGAGATTCAGAGTTAGACGGATCGTTTGACGGCCGAGCGTGCGCACGTGAAAGAGAGCTAAATTAGGCAAAGAAGCAGAGGACGATTAGCAAATACTAGTAAAGAAAGAGGACTTTCAACGACTATAGCATCGAGGAAGCCACATCCGAGCCTGCCACGAGCCTGCCAGCAGTCCAGCAGTATTTTCTGCCTGCGGCGGAATTACCAGCATTTCCTGCCGGCAATTTCAGCAACAGTTCCTGCAGCGGTATCAGCGGCGATTCCTGCCAGCAGCCTCACCATGTCAGGTCGTCTCTCTTTCTCTCTATATTCGCGAGTGCGTGACACGTCGGCGAATTGATCGAGATCTTCCGCGAATACGACGAATTCCACGATTGTAACGAGTCCCTCCTTTGTACACTCTCAAATTGATTGTACCGTGCCCCCGTGCGATTGTCCGCACGAGCGCAGGCACGCGACGTTGAGGACGACGCGTGAACTCGCGTCGTCGCTCTTTATGCATTAATTTCAACAAGTATATTGAAAATGAAACATCAAAGAATGGTTGATGAGTTACACAAACCAGAACATCGAAACTACCCTCGTCGAAAAGTTGATGTACGCGAAATAGATGAGACATGGCAAGCTGCTCTTGTTGAGATGCGAGGCTATTCCAGATAGAACAAAGATTTTCGCTATCTATTAACTATTATATGTACGTTCTATAAATATGCTTGGGGAATTCCAGTAAAACAGAAAACTGCTACATATGTCACTAATGCAATAGAGTCTGTATTAAAAACGGGGCGCATTCCTAAAAATTTTCAAGTGGATAGAGGCAAAGAGTTCTACAATACAAATTTTCAAAGTCTAATGAAAAAATATAAAATAAACCTTTATTCTACTTATAGCAATCTTTAAGCATCAATTTGTGAACGTTTCAATCGAACATTCAAAAATATTATGTGGAAAAATTCATTTTAATAGGAAATTATAAGTGGATTGACTTCCTCCCCAGTTTAATAGAATCTTATAATAATCTAAAACATCACACAATAAATATGAAGCGTAAAGTCATGACAAGAGAAAATGAAATGCGTGTTTGACACGATTCTCTTACGACCAACGTCTTTTCAAAAAATCAAAGTTCCAGGTAGAAGATAAAGTGCGAGTGAGCAAGTCTAAAAACGTTTTTGAAAAAGGATAAACGACTAATCGGTCTACAGAAATTTTTACTATTAATTAATTAAATTACTACTATTATTAATTAAACCTGTAACATATCACCTGATAGATTACCAAGAAAATCCCATTGTTGGTGGTTTTTACGAGCAAGAAATGCAGAAAGCTATGTATCCTGATATTTATCTCATAGAAAAAATTCTCAGAAGATGGGGTAATGAAGTTTTCGTAAAATAGCTCAGCTTTGAGAATACTCACAATTCTTGGATAAATAAGAAGACTATAAATCAATGAATTATAAATATAAATTTATATGTATCTAGCTTTTATTGAAATAAATAGTGTTGTCTTCATTTATAAATATTACATTGTTTTTTTTTATTTTAAGGATAAGAGCCCCAACCTTCGCTATTATCTGTGAGGTACTTCCAATTTATCTTCGTCACTAGTGAGTCCATTAAGACAAGTCGATACTTGCTTTAATAGAAACACTAATGACTCATTTACTTCTCCAAAAAATAAATTTATATAATACAATCTTTATTAAGATATAATAAGATATACAAAGACATTTAAATAATAAATTGAAATCGATCACATCCATGATATTGGATAAATAATGCATATTTTTGAATTCTATCGGAAAGATCAATAAAAAGATCAAAATAATGAATTATCGCTCTTGACATTCGGTCCGGTAGAACAATTTCGAATTCACAATCGAGTTCAAGAATAATTCGAGATTCATCCTGCCTCATGTATGTTATTAGATAATTCTGATCTTCATGTAATTCATGATGACACTTTTCAGGAAGTACGTCGAAGAGCTTTATTCCAATGTTATTCAACATTTCATAAATAATTTTCCAAAATTCATCTTGCTGTAGGTAAATATATCTAGAATGTTACGTCTACCACTGACACTACTACTACTACTACTATTGTTGTCACTGCTGCTGCTGCTGCTATAACAGATACTACTCAATTCTAGAGACAGAATGAAGCTCTTCGAGGCTCGCAGCTCTTTTAAAACCTCTCCCTACTACTTTGATTTTCGAGGCCGCCAGAACCGCCTCTTACTTTGAATTAGATTTCCATTTTATTTAACATATATATAGTGTGATGATTTTCTGATGTAGGACCAAGCATTCGATTTATCATTAGTTTACGTTTCTTGAATAAAACTCGTGATATAACTTTATTCAATTCAGCAATACATCTTTGGAAACGCACGCGATCTCGTGCTATCTACTCCCAAATACCTTTTCTAGAATATTTTTCTTTGTATGGAAGATGAGGTATTCTAATTTTCTTCGCAAACCATATATACTTAGAAGAGGAGCGAGATCTTCTGTTGTCTCTTATAGCTAGCATGACTAAGCTTCTACTACTTCTTCTTACTTTTATTTCGAACAGAATGGGCTTCCTATTAACGTCTTATCGCTATTT